TGCCCACTAATGTTACATTTATTTCTGTCTTCGGAGTCTGCTTTTTCCTCTAAAAAAAATTATTGGACGGTCTACGTAAGATTAGGGCCCTACACCCTAGGTCCAGAGGTTTCTCTGCAAGAGGAGCCCTTTTCAATTACGTGCGCAAAAATGCACGCCTCACTCTTATTTTATGGGAAAAAGTATTTCTTTACGGCCACTCGCGGCATTTATGACATAATGTGTAATATAATGACGTCAAAATGTTTACGAGCGGGGGCGCGATCCACTGACCTCCCACCTCGGAGGCGAGCGTTTTAACACTGGGCTGCAGCTGTCGTTGGAAGATAGCGACGTAATTGCTAATACATAAGTGCAATTGAAGTTCTCTCTTTCTCCACCAGAGCTGAGAGCATACACGCATCGGTGTCACGCTCCCGCTTACTGACGATCTGCGGCAGGATTTTCTGTAAGTCTAGCCTTCCGGGCCAAGAGTGAATCTCTGCTAAACTCAAACGCCGATGTTATTACCAAATTCTTATTCAAAAATATTATGTGAAAATCAAGAGAGTACTGTTTACTCTTTTTCTTCTTTTCGTGACAAAATATCAACCCACTTCAACCTTGGAAATCAACGATAGTGTAATTAACTTTTTCTTCTGATAATTGACATAATTTCAAAAACTTGAACTCCTAGAAGTAATCGGTTTGTTCTCCGGATGTTGTGTTCATAAATTGTTAGTGTCAATACATATCCCTGTCATCTCTTCTAGACTATTTAAGGTATGTCCTGTGGCTGTAGAGCACATAATGCTGCAATTACTCTGCACCTACTGAAAAATCAAATCTGGAGCTGTTTTGAATACATCTGAAAATTTTTTCTAGTCAAAAGTTATAGCTCGCACTTTGTATGTTGAGATAAGCGCCAACCTCCGAATAGCTCTGAATTAGCACTACCCAGCAGGTAAAAACATGCTGTCGATGGCTCCTGTGATGAGTGATAACAAACAACACTTAGATGTTATTTCAACATTGGATGCGCAAGCTCTAGTTGGTTAGAATTCAGAATTCACACATGTTTTGGAAGATTTGACTTCTAACTCGCTGCATCCAGGTCTCAGCATTGGACTGCCGAAGTGTGTTCTGAATTAAAATGTAACAATTGATACCTTCACATCATTTAACATGATCCTAAGTTACCCAACAATTGATTAAAAAAAAAAAAAAAAAAAAAAAAAAAAAAAAAACTTACTCTCAAATAGTGACAAAAAAGTAAAAACTCATGAAAATGGCTAAATATTGAGGTAATGTCCATGTTTGTTACATCTGTTATCCCTATGGCCTTGTCTCCACGGGATGTTTTCATGGGATTTGTCCCAAGTTCAAATCGCAGGAATGAAACTTTTGGGATTTTTCCCAGTTACCGTCTCCACGGGACGGGGCTCATACAGTCCTGCGGCTAGTTTGCGCGGGAAGATAAAGTAGTTAAAGTCGAGTATTTAACCGGGATTATAGTAATAAATGCACTCAATTGACAATCAGACACATTATTTTAACTAAACAAACATTAACAATGTGGTGATGAATAAAATATCGCACAGTTCGTTTTCACTTCTTCTTCTTCTCTCAGTGGGTCCTAGGGGTACAAGTACCATACTTGGTACTGGGAAAAATATTGATTAACTCAAAATTTTTCCCAACTTCGTAAGTGGGATTTTTCCCTGGGACAAATCTCGTGAAACGGCTCGTGGAGACAAGGCCTATGGCAGATGTAAACAATCACCCATTGACTACAGTTTTCCTTAAAAATAGGGTATAAGTATCCTGTCGTTTCTTATTTATCTAATGAAGAATTCAACCATTTCAATGTTCAAGAAATCCATTTCTGAATTCCATTTTGGTCGATAAATCATTGATTGACTCAATATTTGCATTTGCAAAACAGCTGCCAATTCCTTATGGGAAAATACATTTTGAGTGATAAAAAGACTAGGTTTGTCATGAGATGTGACGTAACGAGTGTACCAGATCTGTTACCGCTTAAGGGGGACTATTTTGAAAATCTGAATTTTCTGGAGTTTTTTAAGTTGAATTTTTGGGGGTTTCCGGTGATCCAAAAACTCTGGGAAGATTCCTGTAATATCAGAAGCCTTAGTTCTTTGTTTCAAGCAATAAAAAAAAATAGCGCAATAGGCCCATTGCATTGAGCAACAAAATTGTTGGACGTACGAACCTAGAGGACATGGAGATTAATCCTCAGCAAAATTGGATGTTAATGGTGAGAGTAATCACTGCCCCTGATATGTGCTTTTGCAAAGAAAATATTTTTATACAAAATATGCACTCTTCAGAAACTTTCTACATCCATTACTTAGTGTTTAAACGCTCACATGTTGCACTCATATGAAATTAAGTTTTTGAAAAGAAGCCTCTGAGTCGGCCACAGAACCCATTAGGCAGTATTTTATTAAATCCATGTAGAAAATAATGCTAAGGATGCTATTGACGTTTTCTACACCTTGAACTAATCTAAGAAATGTCTTTTTGCTATTTATTTGTTATTTTGATGCTTTAGTCCAGGACACTAATTGTATAACTCTGTATATGTCGCAGGCAATTTCCAATCTCCGGCAATTCGCTAGCCGATCGCGAATTGCCGAGGCAAAACGCAAGCCGGCGAATTGCCTAGGCAATATGTAAACTGCCTAGGCAATTTGCAAGCTGCCAGTGATGAACAAATTTAATGAAAAAAATCTGAAAATTTACCTTACCATGACGTTTGGCAGTGTGCACGATGGAACAGGTACGACGACCACCTGATAATGTACAGCAGGAACGGTACAGGAGACATGGTGGCATCACTTAATTACTTTATTGCACTTTCATTTATTTCTTTATTTTTCTCAAAACTCACTCAATTTTTTTTAAAATTTCACAAATTAAAATACCTACTCAGAAACTACCATGACTTTAATTAACTACTTGTTCTTGCAGAACAAAGAGGAATGGCAGCGGCTATTGCCTTTGAGATCAGTTTTGAAGCGAGAACAGCACTTCGTAGAGCATTGAGTGCCTGTTGAAGAGCAGTTACATTTTTCAACGCCCTGGCCTTCGAAGAGGGAGGGGTGGGCAACTGCTTCTCTAACTGAAACTTTTTTGTTTTAAAGCATTTAAATCACACGTGCTTAACTTATTAGCAAGGACCTCTTGTAGCTGGTTCCTTGATAACCAATTGTTTAGCACACCAGCCGCCGTTGCAACATTGTACTTTCTGTTCTTAACTTCTATGACTATTCCAGGGAGGTTAGAGTCATCTAAAGGCCCCCGGTCAAATTGCGGAACGCTTATAATGATGTAGGTGCCACCTTTTAGTGGGCTGTGGAGGAAGTCACTTCTCTCTGACATTTTGTTGGCGGCTTTCACAAGCTTTTAACGTGTGCCACTTCTTTCTTCTAGAATCTGCGCCTTCCGCTTTGAGGGATGAGTTACGTCCTCATCCTCTGGCGCCGTGTCTTCTGCATCCCTTGAATTGCTTGCCAGGCTGCAAACAATTAGTTCTTTTCAAAGGTAAACAGTTGCATTTCACACTGATTAACCCTTTCTATCTGATTGCCGATCCTCGTTTGCGGCGTAGATAAAATCCGACTCATCCTCTGAAAAAGTGAGGTGAATTCTCACGGTGTTGCCGTATCTATCGGTAAATTGTCGGATTTTCCTCATTAAATTTGTTCATCACTAGCAGCTTGCAAGTTGCCGAAGATTGTAAATTGCCTGCAACATATACATCAAATCAAACTTGTACTAAACTGCATTTTTTCATTGCATCCATACCGATACCTGTGTTATTTCTCTTAATTTTTTTCTATTATCTTGTACCAGGAATGAAGATGCCTGCCCAGTTTGAATGTGGTTTTTGTGGGAAATCCTTTTCATCCAAGACAAATTGGAGACGTCATGAAAAACAAAAGCATAGAGAGTTAGACGAGGGTGACAAATTTGGTTGCCCAGACTGTGGAAGATATTTCATAAGAAAACATGACCTTTGTAGACATATTGTTGCTAGACATACCGGTAATCACCAATTTCTTTTCTTTTCATTGAAACATTAACATTACGTGTGAGACAGAGAGCTTTGTTGTTGTTTTTTTTTTTGTTTTTTTTTTTTGCTTGGTATTGATATTTATACCAACATGTTCAACACAGCAATATTGCCTGAAATAGTGTATCAAGATAAAATTAAAAATTAACAAAAACAGTGTTAATGCTATTTTTTTACCTAAATGTTAGTATTTCCTGTCGTTGGCATTATTTTTATGACTATTCATCTTTGGACCACTAGACAGGGAACAAAATTAAGAAGTACCATTCATGTTTCCTCATCGAAATTTTACAGAAAATAGAAGGAACCTGTTGAAACTCTGCAAATTTAAGTTTTTTTTTTTTAGAAAATAATGCTTCTTGTCAACGTTAATTCATACTTACCACCCACAGATGAACTTGAGTCTACTCAAGTCAAATTGAGCACTCAAGTAACCTCGACTAAGTATTTAAAGTGAAAACATTTTCTTGTGCACCAACTTTTCTTTGAACAAAATTAAAGCTAACTTGTATCAAAAGAGGAAGGAAATGTGCGTGTAACCAAGCTCTAGGTATCTGCCCAATTTATAGATCGATTTTTGTGTCTACATGTAATTAGGTTTTTATCAATAATGGTTTGCTAGCAAGAGGGAAGTTTGAATATACTACTTATAATGTCAATTACGCTTGTTTCTTTTTAACATAGGTATAAAATTATTTTGAAATGTCTTGGTGTGCTCAATGTGTTATGGGTAAAATTTTCATGATGAAAAATGTGCTATGGTGTCTAATTTCTCTTTCCGGTCAGTGGTCCATTTTGCACAGCATTATGTAATGCAATGGTTGCGCCAATATTGTTGCAATATTTCATTCATATCGCCAGGCAATATTGTTGCAACATTCCTTGAAAATATTTATTTATGTTTTCAAGGTAATGTACATAATTCACACTACCCTTTTTGTAGGGAGAGTTCCACCACAAAATTTTGATCATCACTAATAAAATAATTATACGCCAACCAACTTTCAGGGATAACCCATGATGAACAGTATTTGCTTCGATTACCCGTTTGTTTTAAATTCCTACTTAAGTATTGATTTTTTTCAGACCTTTCAAAAGAGCAGCATGCATGTGAAGTTTGTGACAAAGCTTTTGCTCGAGAAAGTCTTTTGAAGGAACACATGAAAGTTCACGAAGATAGTCCAGATGGGTCACAGAAACTTATCTGCCACCTATGTTGCGTCCCTTTCAAATCAAAGAAGTTTCTTGAAAGGCACATCAAACTTCATGCTAGTAAGCCTATTATTATTCTTTTGCAATACATTTTATAGCATCACGAATTTCATGTACATAGGGTGTTCAAAAAGTTTTGCACACTTCCGGATTTTGAGCGAACAAGAGCAGCTATCGATTTGCGGTTTACGTGTGCTTAAAGTAGACGTAATTACCAATAAAACAAGACCAAGAACAACTCTCTAGCTTAAAGAATGACGGAGTTACAGGGTTTTGAAAATGACATGGAGCGTGACCGCCTCCAGGACTTCTAGCTACAAATATGTTTATCGAGTGGAAAAAAGTTAAATGAGAATTGAGTGTTTTTATTAAAAAAACTTACAAAATCTTACGGAAATTGACGAACTTCAAGTTTCTTCATCGGATGACACGGATGACTCAACATTATGCTGTTTTTCAAAGTATTTTACACCACTTTGAACACACAGCTTCAGCTGCTCTGTCCAATTCACAAGGATCGTCTTTTTGAAGTCTTCTTGACGGAGGGTTTTAAAGCATTTTCGAACAGCGATTTTGATCTAGGCTATGGAATCAAACCGTGTGCCTCTCAGAAATTTCTTTAACTCAGGAAAGAGCCATTCCAAAGCCTAGATCAAAACCGCTGTTTGAAAATGCTTCAAAACCCTCCGTCAAGAAGACTTCGAAAAGACGATCCTTGTGAATTGGACAGAGTGGCTGAAGCTTTGTGTTCAAAGTGGTGGAAAATACTTTGAAAAACAGCATAATGTTGAGTCATCAGTGTCATCCGATGAAGAAACTTGAAGTTCGTCAATTTCCGTAAGATTTTGTAAGTTTTTTTAATAAAAACACTCAATTCTCATTTAACTTTTTTCCGCTCGATAAACATATTTGTAGCTAAAAGTCCTGGAAGCGGTCACGCTCCATGTCATTTTCAAAACCCTGTATCTCCGTCATTCTTTAAGCACACTTAAACCGCACATTGATAGCTGCTTTCGTTCGTTCAAAATCCGGAAGTATGCAAAACTTTTTGAACACCCTATGTATAATCATCATTAACGTAACCAGTCCATCATTTTAAATTCCAAGCATCAAAAAATGATGTTTCCTGTTTTTGATCTGTTCCTTTTTACTCCGCTGTTTTCTCTAATGAAGCTTTACAAGATGGTAGAAAATGCTTGGTCATACGTTAGCAATAAGAGTTTTCATTTTAAAGAAATCTGAAGAATATCAGCTATAGTCCACGGCAGTAAAAGTCGTGGCTGAAGGGTGGACTTAAGTGAGTGACTCAATCCATTGTCTCAGGATTGATCGGCTTTGGCGAGCCGAGGTCCTTCTAATATGTCAGTAACCTGCGTTTCAGCCCCTATACAATAGATCTAGCTGCTCACCTGACTCGGCCCCTCAGTCGCCACTTTTTGTTGATTGCTACACAGGAAAAGTAGTTAGGTACTTGGGTAGTTTTTAAAAAGAAAGATAACAATTTCGGGTCATACATGTTGTCGACAACAGAATTGGAGTCAGAATTGAAATCAGAGTAATGTGTAGTGTTAGTCATGAATTTCAAAAATTGAAGGTAGTGGGCACAGATCAAGAGCTTTTATGGAAAACAAATCGAAAGCAAATAATTGGTTGGATAGTTTCAAAATGCAAGGCAAGAAAGGGAGAGAGAAACTTAAAACCATAGAGATCATACTTAAAATGTTGCCTGCAGTTTGCTGTTTGATGTCACGAGACTAATTTCAGGTGATGTGCTTTTGCTAGAAGTCGAGTTAAAAGACGAGACTTTCACCTCCATTTTTTTTTTGGGGTTGACATTCCCCTCTATACGAAGAAGAGAATGACCTGTATTTGTGCAAAACCATCGAAGAAGAAATACTTTTAAAGATATTACAAACTGATATATTCAGACGTTGTCTCGTCAATTTGAGACAGGTAATCAGATTCGTTTCTAACCAAAATTGATCAAGCCGAAGTCATGAACTGATAAAAAATTAGCCTAACTACATCTGAAGTCGCACAATTTTCTATTATGTTTTCCTCTTTTTCAAGAAACATGATAGGCAGCATGTATACAGGTTTTTAGGGGTTATAAATCCCCCTTTCCAATTTTTTTTCTTTTTTTCAAAATAAACGGCTGAAAAAGTCAATCCCAAAAAGTTTCTTGATTTCAGCGCTCTTTTATTTGGAAAAATTTATCAGGAGCTGAATCATTAATTATGAAATGTTAGCTCTTCAATGTTAGGGCCTCAGCTACTAATGCTGAAAACTATGCAACACATTGCCTTGAAGTTCTGTGGGAATCCCCCCCCCCCCATTACAAGACTAAAAGCATACAATTTCAAGGTAGAATGTTCTGTAGTTTTCTGTTTGAAAAATAAAACTTATGATAGGAAATCAGGCAACACCTAATGCAATCAAGCTAATTCCTGTTTTGTTCAATTTGTTTTTTTCGTACAACAATCAACTTATTTCTGTATGCTTGTTCCAGAGAAAAATAACTCAACGAGTAGTAATACATCCGGTGATCTCTTCAAAACGATGCAGTTATTACAGCCTTATGTGCATATTGGAAAAAATAGGAAAAAGTCATCCAAAAACGTAGACTCAGCCTCGTCAGATGAAGATGCAGCATCTGCAACAAATGATTGTGAGAGATTGACTGATGAGGAAAATAATTCTGGGGAAAACCAGAACATGACAGGTATTAAATCAGAGTGTCTTGGGATGAAGACCTATCCCATTGAAAAATTTGCCAAGCAGACAGAAAACGATATCAATATTGAAGAATTAAGTCCTGACCAATACGTCATAGATTATGTAAAGAACAAAATGAAAGAAACAGAGCAAGAAAGTCATAGGCAACAATTTCTTCTAAGTTTATTGCCAGATGTAAATGAAATGAGCAATAGTCAGTTCAGAAGTTTTCGACAGAATGTGTGCAGTCTTATTGATACGATCCTTCAGCCTGGCGCAGATCCATTACGGCAGAGTAACGAAGAATCGTCATCAACAATTAGTTAATCTCATTTTAATATGTATTTTATTACACATCAAATCAAACTGTGTATTTACGGAAGGGTTCAAGGATCAAAACTTAGTAAGCCTTGCTTCCGTGTATTATCCATCACGGCTTCCATGGCTCGCACTCTGCCAGTATTAAAACTCTACTAGTGCTTGAGACCTTGCATGAACAGACGGTTCAATGGGTCAGTTGCACCAGTCATAGAGTCAAGTTTTAATCATTTTTGTATATAGATTAATAAAATATGATAAGATCCGTCCAAACACTAAGTTTCCTGAGCCAATATTAATGGAACTGTTGCCTTCTAAAGACATGGCATATGACTTCATCCATGTTTCAAGCGGAGAAACCAGTGCAAATGTATGCATCACTGACTGATGAATCCAAGGTATGGGAGACACCATGGTATCCACTACTTTGGTGAATGTCTGTATACACTATGTTTATTGAAGGGCAAGATCTCTGATGATATTGGATGTAGGAACTGTGCGTTTGCATAGATCTTATTATCTTAAGCTAATCTATAAGTTTTAACCATTAAAATGCGATTCTATGACAAGCGCAACAGACCCATTCTGTGTTCACCGCAAGTTCTAACATTATCCTCACAGCTGGTCCTGCCATATACATTCTCTCAAAGTCAGAGAGCCTTTTTCTCTTTTATTAGTTGTTTAAAATCTTTTTCGCTATCTTTTTTCTCAAGATGGAATACAGTTTTTTATTTTTATTGTCGATCACTAATTATCTCATCTCTCATTCCCTGACCCTTTGAAATAAAAGGCAATTGATCGGCAATTATTAATTAAAATTTTAATAAATCATCCCCAAATTTTGCATGTACATGAGGAAATTAATTCTGCGGTCTGGAGTGCCAAAGTTTTTGGGTTTTGTTAAGTTTTTGCATAGATATCATAATGTAACTCTGTCTAATGGATGCAACTTTTTAGGTGTGATACTTGCGTAAGTAAAGCGGTCATTTCTTCCTGTCTTGGATCTTAGATGCTTGATCGGATAGCTACAGCTCATTATAATGAAGTTTAAGTCATCAATAAGTCAAAGAGCCGTATTCATTGTCGTTCCTTGAACAGCTCCTTTCCATTTGTTGCCCCATTTGGTTTACTTGGACCACATTTTGCAATAAGGAACCACTTTTTCTGGCTCATTTTAGAAACAACATATGTGCCATTAGTTCCCCTATGCAGAAAGGTGTTTTTATGGAGGAGCCAGAGATAGTGGTTCCATGTTGCAAAATATAATCCACTTTATGATGAATGAAGGTTTAAAGAAGCCCTCGAAATAGCATCATAAGGACGACTTATGCCCACATTAAATCAAATTCAGCAGCATAACTTTGAAAAGTATCCTTGCAAGGGATTACTTCACCGCTTCAAAAAACAAAATTGAAGAGAAAATAAATTAAGAGTTTTTTAAATTTCAAAGTTTTTTTTTTTCCACAAGTTCGCATCTACCTTAAAATTTGTCAAAATCACGGTATTGTTTATTTTTTGCGGTTATTGTCATCCCTTGGAAGGATCCTTTTGCAAAGTTATACTGCGGAATTTTATTCGAGGTCGGCAAAAATTGCCCTTTTTATGATGCTATTTCGACGTATTTCTGCCAAACGGAACTATGTGAATTATGACGTGAGCCCTGTTATGCATGTATTCTTATGGGTCTCAGGGCTCATGTCTCGATGCACATAGTTCCGTTCACTGGAAACAAAAGACACATTGGACACATTCGACGTATTTCTGCCAAACGGAACTATGTGAATTATGACATGAGCCCTGTTATGCATATATAGGGTGTCTACCGGTCCCCAATGTCCCCGATTTTGGAAGGGTGTCCCTGATATCCCCGAAAGTCCCCAATTTTCTTGTTCAGGTCCCCAAAAAATGACAAAAATCGTCCTAAACACCAGCATTTTCAAATTTTCCCTTTTTCAGCGGCAGCGCGGTGTAACCAGGATTGAAAAAACTGAAGTGTTGCTTGGTTTTTCGTTTGTTTTCATCGGTTCAACATGACTTGTGAAATTAGTTGTATAAAGTACGCCTTTTAACGCTCTAACTAGCTCCCTTTCTCTTACTATTTCTCGAAAAAACTCCCCTGAAAGTTCCCGAAAGTCCCTAATATTGGTTTTTCATAACTGGTAGACAACCTAATATATTCTTATGGGTCTCAGAGCTCATGTCTTAATGCACACAGTTCAACTTGGCAGAAATTCGTCCACTTAGAGGGCTTCCTTGAACCATCTTTTATAACAAAGTAAACCAAATGAAGCTTCCTATAGAAATGAACTGTTTAAGGAACGATACTGAATACGACCCTTCATCTATTTGTCAGTAGATTTAAGCTCGCCAAACAGGGCTCTTGCTTCATTAATAGACAGCGAACCGTGACCTCCGACTGATGCCAGTCCTTTCGTGCATCAGAGGAATTAGTTTCTTGCAGTGCTACATTTCAAAATTTATTTACTAAAGAGAGTATCACATGTTATTTAAACATGACTTTTTCAGAAAATACTTTTGAATGAAAATAAAGACTAACATTAAGTCTCACTATTAGTTTGCAGATTGGTCTCTTCGGTGTGAGTTACAAGGACTTTCCCAACCAAACAGCTTGTACCTATGTCAATGTTGCTAAGATTGTGCACACATTCAAGTGTTAAGTTGATAGAGAGCTGTAGCTGTAAGCTTTGTACCAAACTTTGCCTCAATGTTTTTTCCATTTTTCTGAATATTTTGGCCGAGAAAATAATGTGGGCAATTTTCTCATAAAAAAAAGGAGAAGTTGCTTATCTTAGCAACGTAGACATGAGTTTAAGCTGTTTGGTCAGATCAGAGGTCCACATGTGCTTTTGTATTTTCATCTCATTTTCAGAATAATTTTGTCTAATAAGTGATACATCCACCACTCTCACCTTGTTCTTTTATTTTAAATGGCTTATTGATTAATTCTCTCTTCTTTTTTTTTTGGTGTTTATCTCAAGTATATCCATATATATTTTTATACAAATAAACGAGTTGATCACTTACTTTTCGTGTTAAATTGTTGTTTCATCACTGCACTCTTGTGCTCAGATCTCAGCTCGTTTGAACGCCATTATTTTGGCCTAAATCTGTGCCCCCCCTCTTTCACTTTTTTGTCACATGGGCACTGCTCTCTATTTGTGTGCAGTAGAAAAAAATCTGGACTTCCATTAAATCTGCCAATGGGTCAGTTTCGTTGGTCACAGAATCGTGTTTTGATTATTGATTCTTATAGATTGGCTAAAAATAATAAGATCCATCCAAACCGCAACTTTCTATGTTCAATAATAATGGAGATATCGCTCTTTGAAAATTCGGGTTTTTGACGTCATCCACCGCGGTTCTGACACTCTTGGTTTCTTCCTCTTTTGTTTGGTCAGTGATGCAAAGGGCGCAACTCAAAATTTCAACAACATTAGACACAAACTGTGGTGAACCGACTGACTGCCAAATTTCTTCGCATAGAGTGCGCTATCTCCTGATAAGAGGATCTTTGAAGTGCAAATCTGTCTATTTCTTGAGTTTATGTGTAATGTCGTTAAAGTTTCAGGTTGCGCCCTCTGCATCACTGATCGAACAAAAGAGGGAATAACCAAGGGTGTCACTTCCGCAGTGGATGACGTAAAAAACCCGACTTTTCAAAGGGCGATGTCTCCATTAACTGGAGGTAGAAAGTTGTGGTTTGGACGGATCTTGTTATTTTTAACAAATCTACAAGAATCAATCATCAAAACACAATTCTGTGACCAGCACAACTGACCCATTAGATTTTTGAAACTTTTGAAGGAGCAAATGTGTAGAAATTCCTCATCTATAATGAACATATCAGGAGCTTTGGAGTACCAAAATGTAGCTCACTGTTCAAAACTGCATTCTTTTTAGTAATTACAATACCATGATGTGCTTGAGACACTTATTTCTTCTCTTTAATGGTAATAAAATCTCAGCTTCGAATTTCTCAGAACTGTGGTACCATTGCCCTAAAAAAGTCGCATTTGTGGTATGTCAGCGTCCTCTATCAGAGCTTTCACTTGCCCTCGACTCGTTAGCTTAGAAACCCTTTTATTAAGGTGGAAAAAAATTTAAATTTAATGAGAAGGGTACCAGATAAAAAAAATAATATGATGGATCATAAAAAAATAGTTTAATAGCTTCTTACAAACATTCGTCACAATTTTTTTAAGAATATCCCCAACATTAAAATATTTAAACATACTAAACAGAATATAATGTTCAAGACATCCTAAAAATAGTTAAAGCATAAGTATCGAGTGTGCTCAAGGCTGCCACATCATGTGATAAAATTGGCATACTTTAAATTGAGTTGAATGGGAAAAAGTGCTGATTCTTTAGCACAATTTGGCAACTGAGAGTAACTTTGCTTCAAGATACTGGTGAAATGATTGATGTGCAATGGGTTTTTGCGAGAATCTCTGAATACGTATTACTTGCAGAGAACACTTCATGTAACGCCATTAATATTCTTCTTAGTGAAACATGTACAGTATGGCATGTTCGATCCACGAGCAAAGAGATTCTAGAATTCCAAGCAGAATTGATGGTCCGAGTTGCTTGTTGAAGCATGAGGAATAATCGTAGTAGTGACAGCACAATGAAACATTAGATTTGGAGAGTTTGTGGTAATCTACAAAAATAAATTTAATTAACTTTTGGATGAACATGAGCATTATAAATCTTTAACTGCAAAAATCATAGAAATACAATGAGAAAGGATTGGAATTACAGAAATTAACAAGAAACTCATCTGCATAAAAATCAGACTAAAGCTTATTCACCGGATAGTACAGAAAAAATCATCGAAACATATTCATATCAAAGAACTAAAATTCATCTCGCTTAGATGAGTGGATCATCGGACAGATTGATTGGATTCCCACTAAAATGAATCTTGGAAAAGTAAGATTTAAGTTTAACAAAAAGAAAAAAAAATTATTACAAACACAACAGTGAGAGTGCTTTAAAATTGTATGCTCATGAGACATATCTGATCAGTGTTCCTACACTAATTTCTGGACAGATGATAAAACTCCAGTACAAATTTTTTATGAAAATTTTCTATTGCACTTTCAGTTACAAATCTCTATTTCAAGTTAGAACATTAAACATTTGTGAGTTGTTCAATGTTTGATTCGCTAGAAAATTTCTTTGAAAGAGGTGATTATTCCAAGAGAAGCAATCTAGTTTTTTTCTTGCCAAATTACTATTAAATATTAATATTGTATGGATATCTCAAAAAAATAAACTCTCAATTGTGGAACATGGAAAGATAACAAGAAACGTGCAAGGCATCCACTGGAGCAGAACCAACCGGATACAGAAAACCTCAGCAGCTAGACCCATCAGGAAAAACTAAACTGAATCAATCGAAATGCAAACTACCAAAAATACAATTATATTTGTCCTCCGTCAATTATCTGCCCTATCCTACCTCCATCCCTAGACTTTGCTTGAGTGAAAAATGATAGATATATATGAGCGCATTCAATTTAGGCTTGGCATGCGATGCTTTAGTGATTGATGATTTACTCTTGGACTGAAACAAATCTTCCATCTTTCCTCTCTTTTATCAGTTTGATACCATTTATTACAAGAGAACTTGTAGATTATTGTATATAGTGCCAGCATTTTAAAAATGGTAGATCACATAGGAATGGTCTTAGAACTACTTAGAAAAAAAAGGCCCTAGGTTTACATTCAACATAGCATTCATGAAAAATTTGAATAGAACCATGCAGCACTTACTTATCGTAATGATACGAGAGTATAGAAATTCCCTAGGAAAAACTGCGAGAAAGTAAAAGACTCCTTCTATTAATTATTTTGAATGATGGGAAGGGCATTGTAACATACAATAGAAAAATATGGTGAAAAGAAATGAAATGTAACTACAGGATCTCAGCTGACATGACAGGCTTATGAAGAAATGTTGAACAATAAATAAGGTACACAGAAAATGAGAGAGTTTGTGGAGACTTGCAAAATGTGAACTGGAAAATTTTCTCATTAAATTCGATTGCATGAACCATATCCAACGTAACTCGAACAAAAACAGTATCTTCGCCAAAATAAATGGCAACGACAAGAGACAGAGAATACTACACAGCAGAAGGAAAAAGGAAAAATAAACTATGAAGATTAAGGAAAAACACTGATACAGTTTAATCCCACGTGCAAAAAAAACAAGAGGAAAGATAAAGAGATTTGGAAGAAAACTAAGAATGCTCTGGGTAAGTAATCACCACTAAACTGTGCCCAAAAAGTTTTGGGCTATGAGAAAACTTGAAATATCAATCACTTTGCTACCAAAATTCACACAATCTTTTCAGGACAAAACCGTATCTTTAGCCACAGGACTCGGTACACAGATAATATTACAGGAACAGAAAAAGATGTTTGAATTTAAGAATTGAATTATCTTACGACTAAAAATTCAGTTGTTTTCATAATTTGAGCAACTCACAAAAATTTACAGCAGTAAACAGCAAGACAACAAAATCTAAACGCTCCCTTGACATTACACATTTATTATCTGGATTTAGTTTTGCTCTAACACATGTTTATGTCAAAATTAAAAATTTATTCTCACAATTAGGGGAATTCTTCACGGCTGCAATGGAATGAAAACTGCAAGGATCATTTAAGAAAGGATAATTCTTAATAAAAACATAAATTTTTAAGGTTTACCTGCAGATCATGAAAAATATTAAAAAGATCTTTACTTCTAACCCATGCTATTTTCACAACTACTAAGGAACGCCAGTAGCCCTGATGCATTTAGAAATTTTCCTCCTCTTACATAGGCATTATTCAACGATAGGGTTGTCATGGCGTTTAATCTTCTTCTCGCTAAAGGCTGCAATTTAAGGAAATTAAAATGCTTCCATATTGTAAAAAACCCAGGATAATTGCTGCTAAACTCACTTATACTTCATCTTGTAAATAATATGGTCTCGCTAAATCTCTTGACCATCACAGCTGATAAACCATCATGTCCCAAAACATAACGTTTGAAATTTAGGCAGATACAATTTCTTGCAAGTTATCATAACATGGACAGAGCAAACTCATTCATTCAAAAGATGAACTTTTGGGAGGTCGTGTTTTTCACGGTAACTGTGACATTGTGTAGCAGGTCAATATCTCAGAACGCAAGTATCCCTGTAGCTCCATTAGAAAACAGGCAAAATAAAGCTACATTTACTAAAGGGGTGAAAATTTTACTGGTTAAATGCATCGAGACTCTTTTTGAGAACCCGGAAAATTCAGTGCAACAGGAGAAACAAGAGGTGCGATTTAAATTGAGTACATTTTATAGGTAGTAAAAACTCCGATCTTCCTTCGATAACAATGAAATTAAAACTGATGACTTGTTTGACTGCACACATCCTTAGAATGACAATGAAAAAGCAAAAGAAAAGTTGTACACGTTTGGAAAATGAGTCAACCTAAATCGGTTGTGGGTTACCTAATCGGTAATGGGCAGAGAGGAGCAACTTTTTAAAGATAGAGGAAACAATAAGAGCATTGATATTGCAACTGAGAATCATGCTTTTAGAAGTGATAGATAATTACAAATGATAATTTTTTTGGCCGCGAGTAACGGTAGATTGGAGATATTGTTCTAGAGAGTTTTGACAGGTGGGGGGTATGTTTCTGTGAAGAGTTAGTAGTGATTGGAGAAGCTAGATTTGATTGCAGAGCAAAATATGCTCCGACTGAACAATGCGAGTGGGGAAACTGGCACGGATGATTAAGTCACAGCATCTTAGGATAACTTTTGCCTTACATAAACTTAGAAATTAAGTGTAAACATTATTAGTCAACATTTTAACACTAGCGTTTGGTTTCAAAACAAGATTTTTATTCAAAAAGAGAGAACAGAAGAAATAAAAGATAATCAGAAAGCGAGCAGAGTTACACAGCACAAGACTAATTTATAAAATTTTACATATTTATAATTCTTTCATATATACAATATATATATGTATAGGTATATGTAACTGTGTGTAAGTGTTTCTGTATTTATATATGTACAAATCTAAATACACATATGTATAAATCATATGGGATAATTTTAACAACAGTGAAGATTATCCATTTTAAGATAATGATTCAAATGATGATGATTTTGGAAGTATTGATTCCCATCACTTCCATGTTCGATTTTTGGTATCAATTGTGTTCATGAATCATTATTGAAAAAGAAGCAGGATACAGTAAAAAAGGAAGAAAGAAAAATAAGGAAAGAAATTAAAATTTCACTTTTATGTACATTTACAAATTTCTGAGTTTGAGTCCTAGCAAATGTACAACAAAATGCAAAAGGAAATCTACAAGTTTTAACCTCTTCGATAGGCTAACCTAGAAACCACTTGCATGGAGTACATGTCTAGAACAGATGCGTAACAGAACTGACACAGGTTTGGCTCAGATACAAGTTTTTGCATACAGTGCAAATAAATAGATGAATTCATCTTATTTACAACAAATATTTATCCACAATATTTACATGTAGTTACAAGATATACAAAATTGTATTTCTTTTTCTTTCTATTTTTGTTTAAGTGCATAGATTCTATCATGCACATTTTGCACTTTTTCTTTGTCAATTTACTTTTGTTTATGTTTTTTGTTTTAGCTTTGCAGCTTTGTTACATTTTTTTTCAGCTTCAAATGTAAAATATTTACAGCATCTTAAATAGGAATGAAAAAGAGATAAGGGGCTACCAATACACTTAAAAAAAAAAAAAATAATAAATAAATTTAAAGGAAAAAAACCTAAATTTGTAACAAAAAGGATTCCCTGATTCCCATTATTCATATAATTGGAACAAAAACTGTGAGATACAATGAAGAACTAATTCACCTAAACCTCATAAAGAAGTATTTGAAAATTAAAGTAAAAATACAAATGTATAGATTTGATTACACAGAAATCACTGCTTGATGGCTTTTTCAAGTGCAGAAGTCTCGTTTTCCATTCTGAGACACCTCAAACGATTCATGCTGGAGATAGTAGGTCTAATCAGGCCAGGTAGCGAAAATATCTTCCAATGGCAAAGGCAATAAAAAAATTATTTTGTTTATTATTAAAACAAGTTGGTGTTCGACTACTGGTCAGAGGAAACACAAGCGTCGAGGTGATAGAACCTTGAACTCTACACGTACAATGACCGCATCACCATTTGATTGTTCTCTAGTGAGGATGTCTCGGCATTGGGGGAAAATGAGAGTAAGGGTAATAGAAAGGTTGGAACAAGGGAGGGGGTTCTGATGGTGGCGGCGGAGGGGGTGGTTGCGATCCATGTTTCGTTTTCTTCGTTGTTGGAACCGGTGGGAAGTTCGATGGAACAGACATTGAAATGATAGGCTCCTTCAGTTTCGGTAGAGCTGGTGGTGGATCGCTCAAAGCTGAAATCAGGCCAAAGTTCAGAGATGAAGTAATGTGGAGTTACAAAGCAGGTTTATAGCTTTGACCCTCTTGACTGTCTTTTCTGAGAGACATACAATGCATACTTTTTCCCCACTGAAAAGTGTGCCAAAATTCTAGGGTAGGCAACATATGCAATTACTAGACAAGGTGAGAAAAGAAGCACTAGTACACATTTCTCTTCATCAAACTTTGACAAAGAACATGGTGCTCATAAGTTTTTAAGGTTAGTACCTTTCTGAAAACATTGTGGCCGTTTAAAAAAATTTGACAGGTCATAAATACCCCAAAAAATTAATCTTCGAAACAAGTTTTTCTTTGAGTTTGATGGGCTCTTACTTCTGACAGCCTCAGAAGGTGGCGATGTATTAAGGTAAAATTGTTGAAAAATAATATGAAGCTAGGAATACTCACTTTTCTTTTTGGTTTTATCTTGCTCGTCATCTTCCGAAACTTTTCTCTTGTTCTTCTCCTGCTCTTCATCATCATCAAGAACAAGTCCAAATTCACGCTTCAGCCTTTCCGTTAAATTTTCTCTCTGCTTCTCCACAAGGGTTGAAGATGCGACAAACCTTTTGCCACCTGCCAAAAAAAAAAAACAAACAAATAATTAAAAGTCCAGACCATGAAATCTTAAGTTGTCACAGTGACAAGTGACGTACGCATTGCCGTTTTTTCGTGAAGTGAAGTCAAAACATACGGTGGGACCTCAATTTATCGTATTGTGATTTAGCAGATTCTACGAATTAACAGAAGAACCCTCCTGTTCCCTTAAGGAGAGCCTTAAGAGCACTGTTAAAATTTTTGACCAATTACAGATTTCAATCTCAACCCTATTTGTTTTGACAGATCATATTTTTTGGTTCCTTTTGTTTCCCTCTGCCAATATTGTGCATGTGCAGGACTGCTGATCCAGCTAATGCGTCCGAAATGCTTGAGCGGATGCCAAGCTTATGCTTTAAACATTGACACGAAACAGAAATGCTGCACAGCTGTTGCTGCAAGAACTCAAGGTCAAAGTTGGCAATTTTTTTAACCCTTTGACGGTAGATCACGATTTTTTTTTATAAAGAGAATATTATTCCTAACAATCTATTCATCGTCCGTCAAATGCTTCTTTAATTTCTTAACAAGAGCATTTACTGCCAAAAATTTTTAAAGAGGAAAATTCAATCAGTTAGCACCTTCCAAAAAATCAAGCACTTTCAAGGCCTAGAAAAAAATGTCAAAATCAAGCACTATTTAAGAGCTGCACAAACCATAAGAATGTCACCATTTGAATACTACCAAATTGTCTTGGATGAAATATTTACTTTAGATGATTACTTTTACAGGAAAAAAGAATACCTTTTTTGCTGTCCAGCTGTTGAGCGATAGTGGATTCGAGCTCTAGAGATTTAGCAATGATCGCTGAAGCATCTTCAACATCAGGGAATGTTGGCGGAGACGAGCTCGAGGAGGATGGTGAATGGGGAACGGATAACTCTTCTTCGTCCTTGTCGGTCATTGGTTGTTTCACAGGCGCATTGCCACCTTTTCTTTGTCGGTACTCAGATATTGAAAGCTGAGGGGTAAGAATGAAAAAATATTATTCACAAATCTCCCGAAGGACAGCATACATGTTACAATGTAAAAAATACATTGATAAATCCACATATCCTAAATCGGCTAGATGGGTGAACATGTTAAGGAATTTCCACTATACTTGAATAATTTTTCATTCCTGAAAAAATGTTAAAAATGGCTGTAAACTGAGCAGAGCTCAAAAAGTAATTCACTGACTACAGTTGATGTACTCTAAAAAATGTTAAACCCCTCAAAAATTTTCAATTTAAAGCGGAATTTCCTTAACCTATTAAGTAGGTAATTGTTATAATGGACCACTAGACAAGGTACGAATTTCAGCACTCTGATATATGTTCCGTAACCAAAATTTCACGTAGAGCACGATGCGCACAATGAAAATTATCGAAATCAACTCCTCACAACGATATTTAATGATTCTTGATGCGTGAATTCAAACAACCCGCTCATGAAAACTCAATGCTCTACGAGATTCACATCGCGCGCTAAACGTTATCATGACAGTCTCTGCGCGATGTAAAAATCTGGCAACCTCAATCTTGACGCTTTGGCTCAGCTATAGCAAATTGCCTATAGTTTGAACAACACATGGTGGGAAATGAATATTGCTCGATGAAGAAACTTGCTGAGACCGTTGTCGTGCGCGATTTGACTCACGTAGAGCTTTGAGTTTCTTGTGAGCGGGCAGTTCAAATTCCTCGTAACCAATGTGAAATGAAAAGGTTAATATCTTCGTTAGGAGTTGGTTTCAGTAATTTTCGTTGCGCGAATCGTGTTCTACGTGAAATTTTGGTTAAGAAACATGTACCGGAATGTTTAAATTTGTACCTTGTCTAGTGATCCATTATTATTGTTTTCTGCTCTCTGAAAAACCAGGCAAAAATTTCTGAAAATCGCACAGGGTGTAATTTTACTAAACTGCATGCATTAAAAAAAAGGATTGGATCCTCCTGAAGGTTTCAATAAAGTGCAATTTTGTTATTCATACAATCAAAATTTTGAATTTTTGATTTGATTAAATTTTAATTTTTGGAAATGAGGAACACTCAAGAGCCATTTAAGAAATACGATGGATCACACTGTCTGCTTCATCAGTGACTTCAATGGAAGATTGGAAACGATGAAAACAATATTTTAGTGCCATGTTACTATTTTCAAGGGACGATGTATCAAATTTCCAAGCTTTTCGTAACTCCTCAATCAAGAAAGAACGAACTTCCTGAGCTTCCAATCTTAAACTTCTATTAATTAGACGAAGGAACATTGAGAAAATTTACGGACCTTTTTTCCACAACTATCACTTTTGTAACACTAACTTTAAACCTTCAGAACGACGGTTTGGTTTGACATTTGTAAGCCTATATGTTCATGAACATTTCCCTCTACCTCTGCAAAAGTAACGGTAATCCCACATTACGGTCCCTTTATCCTAGGATGTTTATATTTATTTGAATTAAGCGATTGGTGTTATTCTCCCGACTCGTACCTTTTTTCTGACGGCTGCAGGTGTTGCCTCTTGTGGCGGAGGCGTTTCTACTTCTTCCGGCTGCTCTTCTTTCTTTGTTTCAAGACTAAACAACAACGGTTTAGTATCTGTAAAGCCCATAAGATTGGACAACTCCTGTTCCACCCTGTCTATGAGTTTCATCTCCGTCTTGTCCGACTCTACTTCGATTTTTGGCTCCGGCTCAGGTTCCCTTTTTATCAGTTCAGGGCTGGATGCGATCGGGTGCTCCTTGTCTTCCTCAGCTTCATCTTCGAAGAGTTCTTGTTTCACTTCTTCGAGGTTCTTATTTCTTTGGATCAGCTCCGGACTTAGATTCCTTTTGATGAGCTCAGGACTGAGATCACCGTCTTCGTTAATCGCTGAGTCACAACTGGTTGCTCCCTGAAAGTAGATTAGTATTTCATTCAGTCTCAACATTATTTAAAGAGATGGCTATTGACATAATCAATCACTTTCAGGGTGCTTCGATTAGTTTATTAATAGAAAACAGGGAATGGGGTTGTAAGATGAATCAGCGATTGAGCTTTGATACCTGATTGCCCACTTCTTCCATCTTCTTTGAATAATCACTTGTTCTCGCTCTTTTGACCAATAGGGATTCAATATTTTAATTTTTTTAGTTTTGTCAGAATTCTGTGCTCAATTATTTTTTACTTGTTTTATTCTTTGTTTCATTACTATGGCTTCATCATCTTGAAATTTAGTTGTTTTTTTTTTTTACGTGTACCCGTTCAGTGTCCAGGATAAAATGAAAATATATGAACTTAGAGGGCATGACTCATTTTCAATCTCAAGCTATTCCTGGGTGTATTCGAGCATGAAAATGTAACTACTGAGATGTCATGGGGTCAACTGACTTAACCCTTTCCGGTCCGCGGCAGTTTTCCACGGCCGTCGTTAAGTGAGGTTAAGGTAGCAGCGATGTTGTCAACAAAGACAGTGGTTTCCAAAGGCTCCACCAGAGGCCGCCACTTGCTGGAGCAGTCGAATATACCCGATATCGGGCCTGCACAGAAGTTCAAACTTTTGGGCGACTATATCCGACATCGGACCTAAACGCGTTATTTTTCACGGCGAATATATCCGACATTGGACCGGAAAGGGTTAATCATGTTTTGAATCAACGTGAAAGATCAACTTTTGATCAAACTAAAAACACTGACCCTCCAGCAGGAATGCACGTAAAAAAGGTCAATGATAAAATAGTATCAGACAAATTAAGTAATACATTTAAGACGTATGCTATGTATCTCTATCAACAAGCAAATAATTAAATTATACCTGGTCCATGTTCATTTCCTCATGAGCTGACATGCGAGAATCTTCATCAAAACCAGGCAGCTGTAAGAAAATGAAAAGACATAAATTAATAATTCATAAATTAACAACAGAGACATTCTATTCACATTTACAAACTTCTTAAAAAAAAAGTTGGTACCTTCTTGGAAAACTGTTCAACTACTGTTATCAATTTTCCTCATCAAAATATACGAATTTCCTAAGTTTTTCTTTGAGGCTGTAAAAACTTGTAAGGTAGAGAAAAAACTAGCATGAGAGAAAATCTTATCATAATATTACTGGGCATTTTCAGTTAATTTGATGAAGTGCCGTTTTCTGAATTTGCCAGCTCTGTGGACACCACAAAATACATGTTTTATTCATTCTATTGAAAATCAGGAAAGTTTTTGGGAGAAATTCAGGTGACTCCAGTGACTCAGGTGAAAGTCAGAACTCTATGGTTTGACGATAGAAAAAGTGCATAAATTGAAATAAACTTACAGAATTGCTGCCAACATGAGTTGGCGTTGTTGGCGGAGTGAATGACTGCTCCGATGACATAGACTCTCTGGCCAGCCTTCGTTTCTTTAATGGTCCGACTGCTTGCTCTATGAAGGGAGAGCCACCTGATCAAAAAAATGAAAATAATTAAAATATACATTGAATATGTATAAGACAGTTTTAGGCTTTAAAGGTGAAAACATTTTATTCAAGATACCTGGATTTCTTGATGACAAGACTTCTAAAATGTAACTGAGAGGGGTTAAACTTGAAATAATGTTTGAACACTACGCACAAATCTTCCTGGAGGCGTGTTCTTGCACTCCTTAAATTGTGCACGAATTTAAAGCAAAGAAAACATTGAACACAGTGCATGTTTACTGGTCAGCCACATTGCCTACGAGGATGAACTTTTTTGTTATATCATCTGAAATTTTCAGCTTTCTCTATCTTGTCTTCTAGTTTTTCCTCTCATTAAACTAAATTTAAAGTTAAGATAAACAGTTTTAAGAACACACTGTATCCAACTCAGAGAAAAAACTACACTCTTTTAATAATGACTACCATCACCAGGATCAAAAGGGATCACAGGATTAATGAAGGGGAACAAATAAATACCTGCGGGTGTCTCCGATTCTTCGCTGATGGCTTGTCTTAGCCAACGCTTCTTGGCAAATCCAGCCCCATTTCCGTTCCCTGTTACTCCATTGCTTCCTTGAGGAGTATTTTTAGGGGGTGACTCGTCACCGCCCGCTGAGTCATGGGACTTGGTCCAACTGTTCAGTGATGGCTGCAAAAAGGGAGGAACAGAAGAATAGTATCATACTTGGAGAAAGTAAGGGTACCTGATGGAAACAGTTTTCAGTTGCTGAGTTTTGTATTAAAATTTTAAATTTTTATATGAAGGTGGCCATCCCTTACCTTTGCACCTTACAGACAACTGGAATACATTTTGCATTTTGGAACTATGAATTCTGGCTCTTCAGGAAAAACACTGATGTGCATAGGGAAACTAATGGCACATACGTTTTTAAACCCGGCTAGAATTTATAGTTCCAAATTGCAAAATGTAATCCAACTGAGCCTCCTTTAGAATATGCAACACAGATTGCTTGTTGCTTCCTGTTGCACAAATAAAATTGACATATAGTGTCAATATTTTTGATAAAACTTTGGAGAAATTTCCGAAAAAAAACAGCACTTCATGCTCATTTGCAGACTGAAAGGTAACAAAAAGAGACATCGAACTTCAAGAGTTCTCTATGCAAAAAGTTATCTTGGATGAATTTCAGCAAGGTTCAACTAAATGGGGTCCTAACCAAAAGCTGCCTGACGTTTAAAAGACATTACTTACTGAGCTCAATGATACAACTAGAAAAAATAATACCTTTGGTTTACTAAAATACATATTTTGACTCAGTGACAAAGGAATCCATTACCAATACCAAATATTTGATAAAATCTTGAAGAGCCCAAACCATTAAAACCCATTTTAGGATGCTGTTTGGTTTCCTTTTGAGAGCCCCAGTTGGGAACACAGAATATGAGTCGATGTTTCTCTATTTTAAACTACTGTGACATGTGAGACAGATGCGTTTCGAGTGTAACGATTGAACACAGAGCAGCAACAAACATTAAAAGATAGGAAAAGAATATACAGACCACTGGAGGTTTCTTTTTACTCCTGAATGCTTGAGGAAAAGCTGAGGCTTCAAAGGAGAGGGATAATTTAAGAAAAATTACCTTTTTTGTCTGAGGAAACTTGAATCCTGGAGCGAGTGGGCCAACAGCTGCAGCTACTAGCAGACACGTGTTGGATACGGTGACTGGAGTCATACAAGTATCACTGCTTGATCCACTCTCATTTTTAATGGGCGTTGAAGGCTCGTTCTGCGGAGAGCAAGGAAATGGTCAATAATTTTCAAATAGCTCTATTTAAAAGGGTACATAAAAATCAATCTAGTCTATTTAAACTTGTGCTAGTCGTCTTTAGTTTGTAAAATTGGTATTTCAAACTTTTGGAAAGACTTGAGATCCTCATTAGTAAATAGCGAATATTTTAGAAAATTTTGAGAAATTTTCATGATTTCCGCCGTGATTTGGCGGATCGTTGGCGGAAATGCACCATCAGCCAAGGCCAGTATTTTGAAGGGGATAAGCTGTAAAGGGACACAAATATCAGGTTATTCTTCAAAATGTGTTTGTCAATATCTTTCCTTTTTCATATGATTGTCCGAGCAAAAAATTACAACATTTTGGCGACGAAAAAAAAATAACTGATTTCTGAATCCTAAAAAACACAGCGTGGCTTTGAGTCCGTCACTTTAGGCTGCTGTGACTTTAGAACCAATAATGATTTCTAAATTCTGTAAAAAGCATTGTTTTTGCCTTGCTTTCTACTTTTTATTGACACCAAGAAAAGTAAAATTGAACCAGTATTACCGTTTTTATGGCAAAAGTCCTGAAACTTATTGAACAGACCTCGTACATCAAGAGGTTAAAATAGCCTTACATCATCAGTAAAATATAAGGAATGAAATGAGCCTAGTAACTATCAGAAACAATCAAACAAAATAGGAGCTCTGCAAAATAGTTACGATTGTTGAGCCAAATAATATATGACTTAGTGGCAGAGTGTTGGAATTTTTAGTTTAGGCCACACCATGTGGTTGTGAAATGCTTTGTTGTAAATGATTTGAAATATGGTCGGACGATTTGTTGACCTGTGCATGTATCATCAAATGGATACAAATCTTGGGAGAAAAAAATTAATTAACAAAATACACAAGTCAAACACACCACAAATATAAATAACTGATAAAGCTACAACATTACCGCTGCAAATTCAACTCACTTTATCAGGGGATATTGGATGTCTATTTGACGCATGTCTCGTTGTTGGCTTGCTTGGAACATCCTCATCGTCTTCATCGGAACTTGTTTCGGGTTCCGTGTTCATTCGCCTCTGCATTGCTCGTCTTGTTCTTGGACTAGGTTGCAAATTTGACATACTCCTATTGAGGATGCGCCTTTTGCCTCTGAAAAAATTTTCATACATCCATTTTTAGAGTACAATCTTGTCAATTAAAACTCAAATTATTAGCTCTTGTCTGAAATGCTTTGAGATAAAAATAAAAGGAAACAAATGCTTAAAAATTGACTTTGAGTGGCATTCCTAAGGAAAAAAATAAGGAAATAGAGAAGTAAAATAGGAAGTAAATAGGAATTTTAGGTTTAATTTTTTAAAATAGGAACTTTTCGGAACTTGGAAAAAAGTTCAGCCCTATTTCAGATAATGTAACAATTATAATCTGTTGGAACTGATGCTGTAGCTACTATATGATTAAAAGTATCTACCGAGAAGAATTTCAGTTGATAAATTATGTGTTTACCTCTTCTTTTTTGGTGATGGTTTAACTGCAGGTGTGTGTGGCTGCACTGAAGATTTCAGGATTCTCGGTTCCGGGACAACATCAACATTGTCAGACGAATCTTTTCGAGCTGAGCCCTTGTGATGAGATTCTTGCTTTCGAGCTTGATCTTTTTCAAGCCTATCAAATGCTTTTAAAATGGCTGCAAGTTTCCGTTCTTCCCTTGTCTGAAAAAATTTGAAATGATTAGTTGGTATATGCTCTAGGCAAAACGTAAGAAGAGCCTACAGCATTTAGAGTGAAACTATCATAATCTTCTCTTCTGAAATGAGAATTTCTTGGTAAGCATGGTCCTGAGAGTGATCTCATCCATGCTCAGGTAAAATTTGTCTCAGTCACTCATTTTTCTGAGCTTGTTCAGTAATTTTTAAATCTTGACTTTCTTAGAAGTAGAGAGTATTAGAAGAGTATTTGGTTCGTAGGAATTTTCCTGGATTTTTTGAACAATATTAACCCACAGACGGCAAGTACCGAGTTAAATATCTTGAGCTCCCATATAATCATGCATTGTCAAGAAGTCAAAATGGCATCCAAATATAACTCCCCTGTAGCAGCAACTATTTCTACCACACAATGCCACTGCCATGATTAATAGACAGTGCATATTTACATTGACGATGACTGCACAGACCATGAACTGTAGTAGAGATCGCATGGTCAAGATCCGAGACCACAGAGGGAGGGATACTTGCAAACACTATCTTGGCTTTCTCAGGACTATTCATTTGAAAAGGAGCTCAAAAACACAAATTAGAACTTGGTTTTTAAAGGTTTCTATGGGTCAAAAAAATCTGGGGAGATTCAAGTGAACGAAGTGTATTTTCAAATTTTCATAATTGGCGAAACGTAAATCATTAACTCTATAATATAAAAGCATGAATCTGAACAGAATGCATATTTGTAATCTATCATCCAAGATCAATGCTCATTACAAATTATCTAAAGCACGGCTGAAAATGGGGAAGAATGCAATAGTGTATTTTCTTCAGAAAATATCTTTTAAAAAAAACTCGAAAGCAATTTCAATAAATACGTATGGAGACGATTCTGTAATTTCGTTGTTTCTTGTATTGAAGCAGTGTATTATTTAAAATATTACTTCCAGTAGTGAAGAAAACTCATATAAGACAACAAAGTTGAGCAAAAATGTTCAATCTTTCCTGAGGAGCTCGAAGGCATTGGCCTACTTTTCCAGACAGTTTTGGGAAATATTTCTACTGATATCTACGGCAGCCGTTTTAAGGCCTGCCAACACAATTTACTGGCGAAATCTTTGCAAACTCTTTCAAAATAAAAATAGCTGCAATGATAAGTGAAAATAGGATGTCTAAAAGGAGCAGAAAAAAAAGAGGATTTCAAGTGTAATTACCATTTTACACGGATCATTCGTTGTAAGACTATCTGCAAGGGATGGATCGCATTTGACTGGGGTCTGAGCAGTTGGCGTAGAACAAGTTTTCTCTTTGGTTTCTTTCTCCTTTTTCTGCTCGGAGATGCGAGTTGTCCGCAGATTGACCGACGAGTTGCGTCTGGTCAAGGAGGGCTGTTCGCGTTCTTCTTTGATGCGCTCCCGATCACTTTGAGGAGAGTTCAAGGGTCTCTCTGGCTCCTTTTCAGCTACAGCTAATGGAGGTTGAGACTTCTCGACAGGTACAACAACTTTTCCGCTTTCTGACACGGTTCTTCTCCGTCCTCGTTTCTTAGTGGTTTCATTTTTATTCACCAATGTTTCCAGCGTCACGCTTGAGGCAGGACTCTGCCTTTTCTTCCTCTCATCTTTCAAAATGCTTCTGCGCCTTACACTTGATTCCCTACAACAAGAAGAAAGCAATATGAAAAACTTACGACGATATCTCAGCTTTACGCAGGATGTCTTTTAAACTAAGACGATTTTTTTATCCTTTTTGCAATTATAAGAGCCAAAAAATTCAAAAAGCACAACACGAATTAATACAACACCCTGTAAGGCGTTGATAAACTAATCTAAAAAATTCCTGAAAGGTTTATTTGTACCAAACTTTCATAACTAAATTAAAAAAAAATAGAAACAAATTTTCCTATCAACAAAAAGGAGGTTAGTTGTTGTATTCTACAGGAAAGTTAAAGTTCGGAGGGTTAGAGAGAGAGAGAGGAGGGAATTTAGATGAGATGAGAAAAAAAAAAAAATCAGAGGATAAAAAAAGGGACAATATATAAGTTTCTTTTCAAGATAAAATTATTTTTCATATTCCTAGCCTGATCAGCCTTTTATTACATGAGCGGTATCATTAATGAAATACATCACTTAGAAGTTAGGGGTGGCATACTTACACACGTATGGTGCAAAATGGAAAATGAAATTGGAATTAACTGCAAGAGAATTTATACTCACTCCGGTTGAGGTTCTTCAGCAGTTAAAACAGGAGTCGATGATTTATCTTTAACAGGAGGAGGAGATAAGGAACTCCTTCGGATGATGATTCCGTTTTTGTTTGACATGTGGTTTTGTTTTGAGGCACACTTCCCACCACAAGGACAATCAACATTTGGGATGTCTGGTAAGTTCTGTAGTGTTATTTCTGTATTTTTGTCAATGGCACAAATAGTAACTAGATACAAATGCAGAGTTCCTTTCTCGATGCAATGTCGAATCTGCGAATGAGAAATGGAGAAAAATTACTTTTCAAGTAACACTAATAGTGGAGAAATTTGATAAAATGAAATTAAAGAGTACCAGAAAAACAAATTATCAACAAACAAAGGGTTATTGAAAGGATTTAGAACAGAGACCCAGGGTAACCCCCCCCCCCTCTCCCCAAAGAAGGAGGGGGAAAACCTTGTCCGCCAAAAAATCGGACGCGTTTACCACATGAACACCACAAAAACGAAAATTATGGAAAAAAATCTCACAGGGTTCCCCTTATCACTTACAGGTTCCCCGATTTTTTCCTGTTTTCACAATAACTCACTATATCATGCAACCGGACTAATCACATGGGCAATAAGTTTTTGCATCCATGGAGGGACATAAGAGGATAAGATATTCAAGTAAAATTGCCCAAAATACTCAAGTTATCAATCAGTTGTCAATCGGCGATATGAGGAAAAAATAAAAACTAAACGTGAACCCAGGATAAGTCTATCAATTATTGGTTTTCAGTCAACACAAGGCCTGGAATCAGGATGAATTCTAGTAATTTCCTGGAAAAAAGTAATGTTGTTGTAAACCTGACTTAGTGTAATGATTTATCATGAAAAATAAGGTTGCTGAGCCTTGAATGGCAGAGAAATGTACAAGAAACATGGATCGATGCACGATATGGCAAATCACGATACATAATTCCTTTGCACACTTTTTCCACTATCTAAAGGCTGAATTAGAAAACTCTCATCACAGTGTCAGGTTTACATTAAGTGCCTAATTTTCAGGAGATGCACAAAATTTGTTCCGATTTCGGCTACATATTTATCGACGGCCTGCGAAAGGTTAGTTCTACCCCTTCTACCTTCTGAAAGTCTATAAAATTGCTGAGGTTCTCGAAAATTTTCTTTGACAAGAACTTAGAGCAGCACTTTTGACAGGAAATACAATTTGATTTTACCAACAAAAAAAAAGTCCCCGCTAAGCAACTTACAGATTCATCATGAAGTTTAAATTAATTTAGAACAACAAAATTGTGTCAAGGCTTCATGAAGTAATTGAAATAATGGGTGAGAAAAATTTCACAAATGTCACATCAACCTGAATGCATCAATCATCAGTTGGCCCTTAGGTTACCACATAACTTTAACTTGAATGGTACTACTTCCAAATGTGACATTTATACATTCTTTTCTTTTCCCAGTTGCGGTCTGAACGTACCTCCACATTTGGTTTGCAAGATCTCCTGATGAACCTGGCATCATTACCATACGTTCGAGCATCAACGCAAACTTCTGTCCCATCTTTAGGGAGCCTGTAGTGAAAGATATGTGGGCCTGGGGGAGGTGCCGAAGACGTCCTCGAGACTTGTTTACCAGGTAGAGGCGGTGACACCAGCATATATTTTCCCATCAATTCCAACAAAGGTTGGTTTGACGGTAGATTTGAACTAGACATTAAAATCTGAAAACAAAAAAAAAACAATCATAATATTTTTGAAATAAACATCAAGAAAACTAGTAGGGCTCTATCTCCTGATAGTAAATTTATGATCACATAAGAACAGAAGTGAGGGGCTCTGCACATGCAACTTTTTTAGTATTACGATGACCTTCATCACGCCAGATTAGGATTTGAAACCTTGAAAAATACTGAGTAATCATGTGCTTGTCATGCGAGTATGGAGCCCCTTCCCCCCTTAAAAATTTACACCTTGCTTTGCAACCCTCCTCTCTTCTAAGGGTGCAAAAAAAACAGCTTTTAGTTGAAAAGCATCATGCAATTAAGTTTAACTTTACGCAAAAGTTTAGCAGAGATCTTAATTGATGTACCTCAGAATTTTTTCTTTCCTAGTGAACAAATTTTCCATGTTGTTAAGCCCTCTGAATTTGTGAAAAAATCACTCATTTGACCATCATAGCTATTTGTGGTATTTGGAACAAATCAGTGGTCTCAAAAATGTTGGTTGAAAAGCGGTATCATAGTTACTTCCTGTAACTTTTTTTTTATTCCTTCATGCTAACTCATAGCTATTCAGATTTAAGTGCATATTGCATCTTGTGATAATCAGTAAAAAGAGTGGTCAGATAAGCAAATTCAACTGGACTAGGCCAACTAACACAGATAAGAAATAGGGGTAAATGAGTATCAAAACCTCATTTTTTGGGCAAGATAATAACAGGTATGGTATTAGAGGTAAAAACAGTCTAAATCTTTTGGTTCATGAGTATGACAAAACTTTTGCCAACGGTTGTGACTATTTTGTACCACATGAAAACTTTAAATTTCAGTCATGACAGAGTTTTCAAGTTTACGTACATAATTTTATCATTAAGATCAGTAAAATTGAGCTGTCACCAAGAACAGTTGACCCAAGAACTATGACAGTCTTCAGTCAACACTAAATCAAGGTATAAATGTTAATTAAACTTCGCCTGGTGAGACAAACTGTTATTAGATCTAAAAATTTCAAGATTTTCCTCACACATTTAAGATTATTTTCTAGAGCTTTCATGCGCTGAGATTCGTTCTCCCTCTTTGAAAAACCAACCTATCTTCAGAGAGCGAATCGTAGGAGTGCACTTGCACACCCACTAATGCCGCACTTGTGTCTAATGAAACTAAAATTGCATACCTTGAGACCATTGGGTAGGAGGGATGTTCTGCATTTGGGTGTGGCAGGCAAGTTAGTGGGAAGCTTAAGATCAGAGTGGACACCGTTGACTTTAATAGCTAGAATTCTGGCACGGAGTTCTGGAGAGTAATGATTTGTGACTGCTTCTTCATAACTGTCAATCCATTGCCTCAACTGCTGTACTGAGCCTCTTTCAACCGGGCTGTGGAGGGTGCTTTCTGCCTCCACCGGACTTTTCTCACCGTCAAAACTTACGCGAGCTCCGCTCTGCAAGAAAACAAAAATAGCCATCATATAAACAAAAATGTACACTGCGGCTACTTTGGCTACGTTTTTCAAGGATTTTATAGGGCTTTTCAGGAATTTTTGATAAGTTGGAGAAAAAGGTTGAAGGAGAATCACGAAAACTGTCTCCATAGGAAATCTGCGGAACACATTAAGGAGGACGGGACACTTGACAGCGCTAACACATGGCAGAATACTATAGTTCAAAAGACTAACCAAAAATGTTCTTAAATTATGGACCTTGAATTTCAAATCTCAAGAACACTTTCAAGCACTTTCGTATCTCCATCTGAAGAGGAAGAGCTTCCAAATTAGGGAAGGAAAATTTAAGGGTATTCAAAAGCTTCCCGAGTCTAGGCAAAGACCTGAGAACTTTGGCTGAGTATAGATTATACTTGATCATTTTATGAAACCATCTGCGGGTAAGGAACTTCAGTCCACTTAGGCAATTTTTTTGCGTATGAATTTTTTGTTGGGTTGGATGGAAAAATCTTAATTTGAGTTTTTTGCAGAGAACACTTACTAATATTGCGTATAATAACCTCAGAGCAATTTAGTTCATTTCATTTTGGCACTGATAGAGGGAGTAAAATCATATTCTAATCCAATGATTTTGAGCTCTGAACATCTTGGATGAACAGTTTCAACATTCACAAAAACAACAATTTCTCAGCCAACACAATTGGCATTTGTACTCAGCTTTTTGTGCCAAAATTTGTAAAGGACTCCTGGAAATTGCATTAATATCTACCAGTTGGGCTCTTTAACACTGAAATCCCTTTTCCCAGAAGGATGTATTGAAAAAATAAAACTAAGCGGAACAAAAAATAAAATGAAATCAAAACAGTAGGCTTTTAACAGCATGAAAGAGACTTCAAGTACTACTGATCATCTCCGGGAATGAAATCATTTGAAACTTACAAGATAATCGCTTTACTGAAATGAAATGACTGACCTTTCTTCTTGAAGTTAATTTTTTCTCCTGATGAGGAGTTGATGCTACAGGCTCTTTGCTGCCTAGTTGGTCTCGCTTGTTTCTCTTGGTAAGCGTGTATGATCGCCTTTGCTTCGGATGCCGGATTAGTTTTTCTTTTTTCCTCCGAGGTGCAGCGATTATTTTCTTTCTTCCAGGTATGCGACTGACGTGCTTCATGTTGCTCAATAGTCCTTTCGCCAATGGATTTTTCACTGCAAACATAAAAAAAATATGACTAACTTGCTAGACCGTTGATAGGAAGAACAAAGAGGATACGGGAAGTCAACATCTCATCAGGGGCTGATAAAGTGCTCAGCCCTACTATAGAGTACTTATATAGGGAGAGAATGAACATGTCAAAATATGGAGCTCTTAGGGTCCAAAAGGACAGCTAACCTTTGAAAACAAAAAATGTCACTGGCAATCTTTAGATTCCAATATCAAATCAAAATGGCCAAGAATGTCCATAAATGAGCGGTCTTACACAAAAATGAGTACATTTACCAACAACGGATTGAAACAATTGTAATAATAAATCACTTTGGATAATTTGAATTCATAGGATGGCTTCTCTTTTGCGCTCCAAGAGCTTCGTCACCTAACTTCAAAATTACCGACATGTCAATACTCACTTTATGTAGGTACTCTCCTCTACTATCTTGAGTGTCATGCAAATCTCTACACGTAGAGAACTCTTTCTTGGTTCCAATGATTCATTATGATTTTGATCGGATCTTTATTAAAAAATACATGATGCTCAAAATTTTCACTCTCTCGGATTAGAAAGTTCAAAAACAACAATTTTCCCTGTCCTGACTAATTTCTTGTTCGTGACTAAAGCTGATTGCCATATACGACCGCAGATAACTCAAACCTCAGATTTGTGAGGGGTCAAAAAAAAAGAAAAAAGAATGGAAAAGTGTGTAAGTTTACCAGGTGATGAACTCGAAGAGATGGAACTGTCCGAGTCTGTGGTGTCGTTGAACAATTGTTTCCTTTTCTTTTGTTGAAGTTGGATGGCACGTTGTTTGTTAACAGGTCGCGGTTGACACCTTTCGCATTGATATTCGTCCGGAATATTCTCTCGCGTCAGACTCATGCACTCAACATGCTGCCACACATTACACTTGTCACAGCAGATCATGTAACCATCATCGTGCTGAAACTCACTGGAAAATAAAAAGATAAAAAAATAAGTTAGTTTTTAATGACCCATTTTACCTTTTCAGATTTTGGTTTTTCAGCAAGCCGCAATTCAAATTGCTTATTTCAATGCAAACCATAAACTTTCTTTCTTTTACTAGGTGCTGCACAATATAACAATACAATACAATAAAAATTATCAGACTTAAATACTGGTTTATATAAATTGATTGCATCATCATACAGTTTGGAAGAAGGCACTTTTGTGAAACGGAAATTGAGCATTACCTAGTTCAAACTATAAACGCAGCAGTCCTTTTCAGATAGGAATGCCCTTTTCGAGCCTTTATGTACACTTATGGCCACAAGTTAATTTTAAAAATTGAACCAGAAATAGAAAAATAAATAAAATTAGATTTAATAATTTGCCTGAACAAACCACCCAAAATTAAGATTCAAATAAGTCTTAAATAAAATTTATAAATTCTAGAAATTTTTTCAACAATAATTACACCACACATGTAAGCCAAAAGAATTACAGTTCCTCTTATAAATAGCTTTTTATGGCCTTTATGCCTTTATGAGCCTTTATATTTCTTGATAGCATCAATGCCGTTTTTTGGCTTATCGTCAGATGTTCGAAATTGTTACATTGTTTACATTGTGGTACATTGGCTAATATTTTCAAACAGGTAATACAACTTTGCAGAGGTCTGGAGACCTCCTGTGTTGAAAATGAAAACAGCATTCTAAATTGAAGTAGGTGCTAAAAACTTATTCATGAATTCATTTTGGAAATTTTCACTATGCTGGATAAGTTCTGCATGAAATTTTGACGAGGTAGACTCTACCTGTTGATTCCATGAGTTGTTTTTAAAGAACAGTTCCCCAGATGATAACTTCAAACTCAACGAAAAAGAAAGAATACTCACCATATGCATCTTGTGACACTGTCGTCTTCGTTATCTTCCGCTTCTGGAGCAGTTTCAGTTTCCTCTCCTTCCGGCTCAGGCTCTCGATCCTCATCTGAACTGAGCTCACTTTCTTCCATCTTACTCGTGTTAAAAGTTGATGAGAGGTTGAAACTTAGCGCAGATGGCTGTGATGGAAGTTGAACTTGAAGAGTCGGCCTGTGTCGGGGACTGACGTTGCCGTTCAGTATTTGCTTGCAATTAGACAAGCTTCCCATTGGGACTGAAAATCAGAAATGTGGTTTGATAAATGAGAGATATTAAGGTGTTTGTGATTCATTTCCAAAAATGAGGAAATGCAAGCATCGAGCTTTCAAAAAGATTCTACACTGACAACGAACTTGAGAACTTGGAATTCTACAGGGTGTCTACCAAAACAGGCGGGCTAAAAGTCAGTGCTTTTACGATACTTTTTCAGTACATTCACAAGATATTCAATACTTTTTCAACAGAAAAATTCAATCTTTTTCAATACCTCCATTTAAAGAAACTCGAAAAGTTTCGAAAATTTGAATTCTCGCTTGAATTGTGACAAGAATGACGTGAACACAAAATTTTATTGGCTGCTTGAGGATTAACTGACTGCACAAGCACAATCTTGCAGGCAAATACTAATCAAAGAATCAACACACAGGGGATTGCATTCTTACTTTCCAGGCTTCATTAAAAAATATGCGTGGTAAGAAGGAAAAAACTCCCGCCTTCTTGCGGATTTTCCGCACTTTTATGGTACATCCAGACGGCCGTTAAAAAACCAGTACTATTTCCAGACTAGTAGACACCCTGTCTAATTACTTGCCTAACTGTAAGTTTCTTTCCAATGGATAGCTTGACCTACTTTTATTTTGCTCCTTTGGGCAACTGGAGATGAAAGGAGTTGGTATTGACTGATTCTGATGTTAACAATCATCACCAACTGCTTGCTGATATTTAATTTGAGAATTTCCTGATGTGTCTATGATTGGGTATGCGTATCTTATGTTATGTATCTTATCTTAGTTATGTCTGCCGATTGCTTTTGTTATATTTTTTGTAAATAATGGGCTCGCTCACAGGTCGTTCAAATATTGATAAACAATAAAATGAATACACTTAATATGATTTGCCAGACACTGGTCTATCACGTAAAACGAATTTTAAGTGTATATATTGAAAGTAAATTGAAAAGATGAGAGTATCTTGAACAAAACCGAGAAAACTAGGCTAGTTTGGCACTCAGCAAGACATTTCAGAGAAAATTATGCACATGAATGTACTATAAACACCATGTGGGATTATAGTTTCATAAATTTACTACAGAGGCATCAGTTCTTAACTATTGAAAGATTGAATGTATGTTAACTCACAACAATAGAATTGAACTGGGTGCTTAGACTGAAGATGGTGTTCACAATCTCTTTGGGTTATGTAATTTCAAAAAAAAAAATAATCCCCACTATTTTCAGGTTCAAATTAGAGATTTCTAGATAAGAAACTTCTTTCTTACTTTCAAGCTGACTACTTGTTTAAATGCATTGGACAGAGCTTGGGCAAGAAAATAAACTGTAAATCAATTGCTTTACTTTTGGACCCCTATCACAAGTAAAACTTTATGGATTCTCTTGATGACTGTCAAATAAATAAACAAACAAACAAACAAACCACTGAAAGTAACGATAGTAAGGAAGTGCTATTTACTGGTAGGTTTTTACAAAACGGAAAAGAATGAAACGAATTTAACCCTCAAATGACAGCTGGAGGAGACACTGAAAAACACTAGAAGAGGACTCCTTTCATTGCTGTAGCCAAACACTTCACACAGGACTATGCCTTATCACACTTGTTGTTCGCAAACATTTCAAACTCTAGAAGTTTGCTGATTAATCATTTGTGTGCATGTGCTGTTCTGTATATTTTCTTTCAGTAGATCCATAAAAATGAGTGCAAAAGCAATAATTTTTCAATTTTTACTTTTGGACCAGTTGGACATAAAAAATAGAGATGGCTACTGGAGAGATAAAAGGAATAATTGAATCAGCACTAATTCATGGGAAATTATGTTGTAAAAGAGAAACAAATTAGATACCTTTGTACGAAGCAGTGATAACTGGAGTATGATTTGGAACCGTGGTTCGAATTTGCGTATTTGATATGGGCATGCCATTCACACCGATAGATGGTTTCATCAATGAAGGTAACTGAGGGCTTAACGGAGGTGGTGCTCCATAATTGTGATCTTGCAGAACACACTAGAAATAAAAATTCAAAAAAATATTTGATTAATTGACATTTGAGGACATTTAGGCTTGTGGGTGGGACTTAAAAGATGGAGGGAAGTTTAGATAAAAGCTCAACTGGCTTCCAAAAAATTGCGGTTGCCTCATAAGATTGTTCCTAAAATTTTAGAGTGGAAATGAAAAAACTCAAAAAACAAAAACAATAAAATAGTACTTAATTGAGTCATTTGATAACCTATTGATTTTAATGATAGATTTGGCTTACAAAAAATAGGGAGCGGTAGTCTTGCAGTAATCTGCAGTAACTAAAGATTGAAGCATTCGTATTTTGCTTTTAAAAAATTATTTGGATTCATTTAAATTCACCTTCTTTCTTTGAAATACAATTCTGGTGATGGAAGGTAGAAAAAACGTCAAATTCAGAGAAAAAAGGAATTTAAATTTGGTACCTGGACATCGAGGGGCAGATGTTTATGAAACCTTGGCCTTTTTTCAATGGTTCCATCTAGAAGATCATCATCATTGAACTTCCATTGGCAAGCTCTGAAAACAAAATTGTGATGAAAAAATGAGTAAACGAATGAGTTTCCATCCCTGAATACAACACGTAGAGGTGCACTTGACATCCCTGAACAAAAATGCTTGGAGTAGGAACCTTTTAGGTAAGATTGCAGATGTATCAATGATAAATAATCGTTAATTAAAATGTGAAAGAAATAATTCTTAGGTAAAAATCATACATTGAAAATATGCTGTATTGTCACTGCACTTTTTCACAGTTTGATGGTGATTTGCAAAACAATTTGGTATTACAGTCAAACCCGTACCTGACAAAGCCCACTGGTGGCCAAAATCCCATTGGAAATGGCAGTTTGTTAAAAGTGATAACGTCCCCAGAATGACAACAAATTTGCCGTTTTCAATTGGAAAAAACTTTGTTGAAAGAGAAAATTATGTTCTGAGACTCAAAACTGGGTTTTGTTTCTCCTGTAAAACGTTATTCAGAATTGGCAGGGATTAAAAATTACTTTCTCAAAGGCAGAATTTCGGAAATATAAAACCCGGTGTGACTGTGGGTCTGATGAATCACTTCAATGGGACTGTTAAATGCAAGAGTTACAGCCAAATAAATATGCTCTACACAGGTAGAAACGCTCGAAAATCATCATCAAGTTAAATAAAAAAGCCTGAAGTCCATTCCTTAGCGCGCAATCACTTCGTAACTTCACAGTGTAACTTCACACTTTTTCAAGTTTCTCGCATCTGCAGGCAGTTTTTCTCAGTTACCCCTGACCAGTTTTGCACAGGCAGAGGAGTATGAAAAACTAACCTAAGTGAACAAATGATTTCGCTAACTTTTTCTTTTGTATGATTTCCATCGTTTTCAAATGTTTGTTTCCTTTTTCTTTTGAAATTTGGCAAAAACAAAAGCTTTGAATCAATTGAAATCTTATGCAAGGAAAGTATTTAACAGTTCACAAGATAGTTTGTTTTTTTAGGTTAGGTCTCTCTTCGGGCAAACCTGACTGCCAGTCACCAAGAAAAATTGCCCGCATACAAGGTAAATTTGAAAAAGCTTGTTACTAACTATGCAGATTACACGCTAGGGAGTAAATTTCAGACTTTTCTGATGTGCTGAACATGATTTTTGAGCTAATTTTTCCCTTAAAACATGTATTCAGTTGGCAGTATCTCTTGCATGTAGCAGACCAATTGGCAGTTCAAATACGCTAACTCTGCAGCTACAAAATAATAAAAACTTAGACAGAAACTATAAGCGGCTGTATGCACATATCAATTTACTAAGCCTGCCTGTGAAAAGCTAATAATAGGTACACCTGCTGATTGCCTTTTTTTTTTCTTTCTTTCTTTCTTTCTTTCTTTCTTTCTTTTTTTTTTTTTTTTATGTTTTGCCCCATCCTTAGGAAATTAACAAGAAATGTATTTGGAATTCCAATTTTTTACCGAAATTGTTCCAAATTTCAGCTAAGTATTATTTACTGAGAGTTTTATGGAATGCTAAACTCTAGAGGTTAACTCAAAAAACCAAAGGTAATTTAAGATGTAAGAAAACACCTGCTTACTTTATGCGAGAAGAAGGAATTGTTTTGACCATATTGAAAGTAATAACTCGATGCTTTGGTTGTTGTAGGAAGTTGGTAAAAGTTGGATAGTTAGCAGCATAGCTTTTGTTGACGCCACCGTACGATTTGAAATGGCTTCGGCTGCTACCTTTACTTGAATGCTTGTTACCGGATAGCATCTACAAAATAAAGCAAAACAACAATGAGAGGACACAAATATTTCACCTGGACAAACCTATTAAAGAGGTCCAGAAAATTGATCAATATAGCACTGACAGATTATATGTTGGAAAGTCCTGATGATGCCTTCGCAAAATAGAAATAAATGAAAAATGAAAAAAGAATAATGAAATGTATACAAAAACTATGATATTCCTATCATACATGTTTCAAAATATTAAATTGACGTCCTATTTTAAAAGCTTTTAAACAGCACCAGAGCGAGTCTCTCTAGAGCAAATATTGGCAGAGATAGAGGTCTTAACAGCAGGTCGTCCCCAAGAAAATCTGAAATTTTCAGAAAATTTTAACTCCTAAAAAATTTTGACAGATGGTTAAAAAATGTAAAATTGATAGCTTTTGGCTAGATTTATTGTAGAGAATCAGTGTGCCAAGTTTTGTAAAAATGTGAGGTTATCACATCAAAGAGACCTCTACTTCAGCCTGACCCAATGATACACAAAGAATAATTGATAATTTGGCAAAAGGAGCAAGAAGCAGGTACTGGTTTAGTTTTTTTTGTGTTGTCAAGTTCAAAAACCTGAATCCAACCTAAAAAAATTTATTTTTATCTGTACGGATTTGAATGTCTCAATTTCATTGGGAAATCAGGCAGTTTCCTACAAAGAAATAAAAAAAAAAAAAAAATAATCTGAGAATACCAACCTGACTGCTATTGTGCCACTTTGGTGGAGGCATATGAGAAGAGACAGTTTTGCTAGAAGCATTTGGAACATGTGGCGATTGCCTATTGTAATACACTTGTTTGACATTCATGCCTTCTTGGCTGCTAAATTCAACATTATATCGATGCTTTATTCCCAGGTAAGTGTCAGGCGTTGCAACAATATTCATTTCGCCAGTTAATTTTTGTTTACTATTTACAGATAACTGGTTTGGGATCGGAACATGCATCATTGACCTTGATTTACAACTCAAACTTTGATCAACCGGTTTCATTCGAGATCCACAATTAACCTCTGTGACTACTTTTCTTTTGAGGTTTGAAAGTTCATTTGGCATAACCAAGGATGAGTTCATTTCTGAAAATGTCGGTTTATGTTTTGCAGAAGCAGCCGCTGAGTTGTGAAAGGAATTATTTCCCTTCAAATCTTGAGAAACTTTAAACTTCAGATTAGCAGAAGTTTGTGGAGCTACATTGCTGATTTCATTCAGAGGCTTGAAGTGATCAACTTCAATGAGTTGTTGGGAAACAGAGGAGGTGACCGCAGTGCTACTTGCTACGACTTCTTCCTTGACTATTGGGCTCCGCGAGTGCTTTTTGTCTCCAGAAAGTAGAGGCTGACTCTCGGCGCCAGTGAGACTGACGATGTTCTGTTGACAGCTATCAATTGTTGAAACAGCCACAGATTCATGAGGGCATCTGAAACACACAAAAAAAATTATAATTAAAAATAACAACTGTTTTTCATGTAAACTGATCCTATAATGTAATGATTATCATATGGGGAAAAATTTGATCTGTTGGTGCAAAAATGAAAATCCTTTACTGCACAGTTACGATGAGCATGCTAAAAAGTAAAATCAAGTTTGATCTTAAATGAGACTGGTAAATAGATTAATCAAAACCAGCTAGGGCTGATTCCATCACCTCTGGTTAAATCTGCTCGCGAAGTTATCAGGGGTCTGACGTTCATCCTCTCGACAAAGCAGAATCCAATTTACTGCTGTTTTTATATCAATTTGATCCACTGTTTGAATTTGCACGATTTTTTATAAAAACAACGTGATGGTGACATATTGCCGCCAACTCTGGGCGCATTACCTCTAAAACTTCAGTTTACCCCATGCAAAAGTCAGTAGCAAACCAGCTCCGCCAGATGTTGCAAGCAATTCTTAAGAGGAACAATAGGAAAACAAGGAATTGATTGAGGAGCATTTGCAGCGGATTGCAAAACTAGCCGATCTGACTATTTCTAAGTTCGTAATTCCACCCTCCATTGCGAAAAATTAAAATGCATAAAACTTCAGATCTGAGTTTTTTGTCAATTTTAAGTCTGTAGATGAATGACTTTTTTCAGGTTTTTGAGTTCCTTTCTTCCTTTCTTTCCTCCTGAAAATTCCAGATTTTCCACACGGTTAGAAACCCTGTCTTTGTTTCAAAGGCACTTATTAAAGAAATGAGGCGAGGCTTTCCTCTCAGAAATAAAAGAAGGGGTTAACAGAACCAAAGCGGAGGAATAACTTTAATTTCTTTGAGAAATGAAAATTAGTAAGTCATTGGACTTAAAAGCTCCTTTACCTGTTGTACTTGAAAAATGTCCAATACACATCGATTAAGTTTAATAAAAATTTCAATTAAGTACGTCACTCTGTCTTGGCCATGACGTTATTCGGCTCGGTCAAAGTTGCAAGCTCTAAGATGCTCAATCAAGCAAGTTGCCGAGTTCTGAAAACAAATTCCATAGTTTTCAGAGGACTAAATACTTATCATAGCACTGTTGAGATCCTCTCGGAGAATCTTAACATGATATGATAGGAAAAATCCACCTTTAGGAATATTACCGGACTGGGGTGAAATTCCCTACTAGGCATCGTCAGGTCAACACTTACAGACTTACAGTGTACCATCACATTATTTAATTACTGATCACTTTATTCTCTCTCTTTGTTTAAAAAGATACTTGGAAGTTTCTAAACTTCCCAACTTGCTTTGTGAGATACATCCAATGCTTCACAATGTAGAAGATGACGGTATATTGTCACATAGGAGGCAAAACTGTGTAAGTGCCTTCATGAGCATTGGCAAATACACGTTGGTGACAGTAATACACTTGAGGGTCAAAGAATATTACTGAATCGAGGAAATGCTGAAATTACTTTTTTGCTGCTATCACTCATGAGTGACGTAATCTTGCTGGAGTTTAATTATATAAGGCCACTTGTCCACAAAATTATGGAAATGAGACTCGGGAGACAATATTAATTTCATCCCTGTTCAGATGTGAAAGGATTCAATTTTTTTAATTATAATTGCTACAGAGTCAATGAGGAGCTTGCAAATAACCTACCCAACATGAGTTGCACCCAGCTGAACAATGAGACTGACATTTTCTTCGTTATTCCGAGTATTGGAAAGCATCGGATGGGGTTGAAGAGGAATATTGAGGGAGGGTAAAGGAGAATCAGCTGAAACGGGGACAAGTCTAGCGGGGGTACTTTGGGGTGAAGCCCCCTTGCTACCCCCCACCCCCGCTGATATTACTGATGATGTCGACGCCGTGACTGCTATCGCTCACACCGGAGAGCCCACCTGAAACAAATCAAAGAAATTTCCATCAGCTAAAAATTCAACCAACTTGCAAATCATTATCAGGCATTGATTAATGATTTCGTGGAAATGCAAATTAAACTGACTTATTATCATTATGTACCAATTGATAGAGAATGACTTAAGGCATTTCAAGCTTTGATGCCCCATCAAGACCTGGACCAAGGGTAGCATAATTTTTCTTACACGTCATTATAATGCTAAATTGATGGCATTTTTCTGAAAATTCCTGTTTTCTCAAAGGAAAATGAACCGCGTTAAGTAGAAAGGAACCAAGCTATAACAGCTATTGACAAATTTAATTGAGCAATTTAAATTATAATTCACAAGCAAACTGTTGAGCAGATTTTTGTGCAAATTTCGGTGAATTTTCTGCATAGTACGAGGCAAATTCCCTAAAATTTAAAAAAAAAACCGTACAAACGTTCTCTTGTAAAAAATTAAATTGCATTAAATCCTCAAAAATTCCCAGAATTTTCCAACAAATTTCCTGACTTTCCCGGTTTTCTCAACCGCTGGCAACCCTGTATACTTCTGTTCATGCAAAATTTTTCAAATGATATACTTCCTTTCCTGCAAAATTTAGCGAGTAACACGACAGTGCCACTGATTTTTATCTGTAACGAACTCCCACGCTCAAAAAATGTTCAAGTAGCGGTTGTAAGAATTGAGGGGATCCCCCACGCTACCCTGTTGCGAGAATACACCTCTATATCCAGTCCAACTCTCCATGCAAATTAACCGCTTTGTTTGGGGGCTCCAAGTCTGGAACCACGGCAACCCTGCTGATGAATTTGCTCCCTGTCTGTGCATAGAGAATTCAACTAGATACAGAGGTAGACTCTCAGCGTACCGTGAGGAACCTCCTGCATACAGCCTCAACGTAAGGAGCTTTTTTAGCTCTTACAGGTTCGTTTCAGAGAAGACCAGAGGCACCAACATCGTGTTTCTCACGAAATTTCCGAAGGAAAGTTACTTGAATCGCAAATCCCTGAGGGGCTTGGAGGACAAGCCGCATAAGTGCAGTTTAGGTTATTTCGAGAAACACGTGTTCGAAGTTTCAAAATCACATGGCTCCTTGCGGCGGAAAGAAAGTTCAAACTGACTTTTCGATGCTTAAAAATTGGAATTCGGGAGCGAATTTTTCACAGAAATGGAATAAGACTAGTTGCACTAGAAAGCATTGAAATCTCAATTTTTTCAAAAACTGCACGCACTCAGGCGCCTTGCCCTCCAAACCCTTCCATTGAGCATTTCCACGGTGCAGGAAGCCGATCCTTACCACATACGAGCTCCATCTCTGGACATTTTGCATTGTAACGTTGAATCGGATAATTGGGCATTTTGTTCCAGCCCAGATGGACTGGAAAGCACGGGCCCCGGTTGGCAGTACTGCCGTGCCGAGGAAGAATGCCGTATGAACATTCGAGAGTTGCCGAATTTCCTTCAGTAAAATGTTTACTTTTCGAGCGAAGTTATGAATATTTTACCTTGTAATTTTCAGGACCTTCGGGTAAAATTGCAAACAACATTATCTGAAAAATTGGAGGAAAATTATTCATATGTTTATGGGGGAGTTCGTGTTTTACCAGAGAAAATTTGGCAACGCCGAAGGGCTCATACGGCGCTCTTCCTGAGCACGGCAGGGTGAGTCCGCGACAGAGCTGACGGGAGGTGGAACTGGGAGCGGGGCGCGGGTCGCGGAACCGAAGGCGAGTGCACATTGCAGAGTGCAAGCGACTTGCTCGCTCGTTCTCGTAGCTTCGTCTAGTTCCGTTCCCCGCCGAGTGCAACTAGGTTGCAGTGCCGAGTGCCAACGGAGAGGGAGCGAGGAGAGAGCAAGAAGACCCCGAGTAGGCAGCAGCAACGCAGCCAGAGGAGGCAAACGTGGGACACGACCAGAAGGGGCCCC